AAAAAAAAAAAAAAAGCTAGACCAGTTTCTTTGCTGCAGTTTCACATATGTAATTCTCCAATAAACATCACCTTCTTCCATGCTGAAGGCAAGACTATTGCTGTGTGAATTGAGCAGGATACAGCAGTGAGAAAATCTGTAAATAACTACCTAGGTAAAGACAGAAATACTTGGGAAAAAAATCTTGATTTCTCAAGAGTGAGTGATTTTTTCTTGGAGAGGGAAGTATGTCATATGCAGATTGTAAATGTCAAGTTAAAAGGGCTAGCTCCCCACATTTCATCTTGTTAGTATCCTACACAGTTCTGAGAATATGCTGCTTTGTGTAAAGTCTGTAAATATGGAAATCTGTATTCTGCTCTTGATTTGTACTTGAACTTGATTTGCTCACCTGGAAAAATAAATCTAAACAGCCTGAATAAACTCAATGAGCAGCCTACCTTGCAGCTTCATGGCTGCATTGTGTTCCTGTTATTTTTTCCGCTAAGGCTTTCCCTTAGAGCTGGCCTGTCACTAATTCAGACTCAGTAATTGAAGTTACATTCTGCTAATATTCATATATCAACACATACCCTGTAACTAATCACCAGTAACACCTTTTAAACTCCTAACAAATTGCAGAGGCTTGCATCTTTTTTTGTTAATTACAGCAAGATGAACACAAAAACTTCACTTGGTTGTAGAGCATTGCACCAGCCTCATGCCTAATAGAATTGGAGATGCATTTGCACAGGTCAGGTGAGCAAAGCTAACAGCCACCTACTTGTATTTGGTACAATATTAAAAGTGAGCATCTTCAGCCCTACCACTGCATCAGTGGAGCAGGTGCTCCTAAATGAATAGTGCGGTGCAGTGGCCTGAATGTATGCAAAGTCTGAGTAGGGAGAAAACAGTAAATTATGCACACAGAAAATACAAGGGGAGACGTTCAAAAAAGATCTGACAACTGTGCACAGCTAAAATCTTAAGCTTTTCATTGCATTTCAGATATTATGAGATGTGAGTCTGAATGCACTCAAATAATTTACACTTAAGCTGTGCTGCTGAATAGAGCTGCTGCTAGTGACACTGAGACTGACTCATAGGAATGTTTTGTTTGAGTGAGAAGACGACTGCTGTGCTTGACTGGCCGAAGTACCATATGTCTCTAGAACAGCACAGACCTACTTTATCCTGCGATTTGCTGTCAGGGTCTAGAGAAACTCGCCCAGGTGGTTTGCTGATTCAGTATCCACAGTTGTGTTACTCTGTAAGTCGGATGAGTTTTTAAAGAGACCATATGTGAGTAATCAACAGCCCAGTCTGCCTTTTCACAGCCCCTTCCTTGGAGGTGAAACCAGGATGGAACAGTAAATATGTAGTGACATCTTCAGAGACTTCCCTGCTTTCACTGCAGAAATGCACAAGTTCTACTCTGCTGCCAACAGCACGAGTATGTGGCTCTGGATGATATCCCCTGATCCTCCATTTCCCAGTTATACGTGGTGTGTACTCTTTGAGGCTGCTTGAAGGAAAGGAAAGTGGGGCCTGATCCCTCTGACATAGCTACAGGAAGACTCTGATAATGAAATCCAGTGGGAGCTGAGTCTCCCTAGTGATGACTTGGCTTATTGTGACACTGGGCCCTTTGCACATGCCAGAACATTCTCCTTAGGAAGGCACTCATAATAAAATGGAAGAACTCTGTGCTTGTTTTGCCTCTTAAGTGGAAAGGTCAAGACAGATTATTATTTTAGGACTGCATATCAGATCTTTTTGACAGTTATTCTAATGTATTAAACTATAACTCTGGAGTAAGGAAATTGGATATTCATACCTGATGTCAACAGAAGCCAAGCATCTCATGTCCTTAGGCTCTTCTGAAACCCCAGCATACATTTCTCAGCTAATTGAAAGCATATTGTGTTTAACAACAGCTTGCAAGAAGTACTTATTCTTTCTCTGTGCAAATATTCCTCTGGGCTTTGTCTTATCACCACATATAAAAATATACTGGTATATGGTGGTAACAAAATTTCCAAACATATGCAAAAAAGACAATAAAATTAACAATGAGGAATCATATTGAAAATACTAAAATAGCATCCAGTTTAAGGTAGGTATGCTACATGAGCAAAGATTTACTTCACTCTGACAAGACTGATCCTGTAAGAAAATCTTAGAAGCTTCATGCTGAACACGCCTTCTTTACAGAATTCTTACAGTTATCAAAATTATGAAGTTTTTTTTCTTATGTTCCCACTCACATTAAGAAAATACTTTTAAAATAGAAATTAATAACTATCAACCTAGAATGCTTCCTTTTTCTCTGTTGTGCCATACAAAAGTACAGGTGCCACTCCCTAAATATAACTAATTATGATCTCACAGGGCCATTTACGCTCCATTACACTATTACAGTCTTTTGCATTCCTGAGACATCTGAGGGGGAAAAAAGCTACAGATACCTACAAAAACATAAATGACATTACTGATTAATTATTTCTTCATAGCAGCAGATTGTAGTACCTCAGACCTGGTGGTTGATGAGGCTTACTCTTTATTTTTAATTGGTAAACCAGAAATTATAACCTTCAGACAACATCATCATCCCAGAAATCAGTAAAAGGCAATCCCTTTCAAAAACAAAGAAACAACAACAACCAATCCCAAAGCATAACTGTTGAGAATAAATGATGCAGAGAATTACTGTTCATAGTAGTACACTTTTGTCAATGCAGAAGTCATCAAAACTGTAGCACCCCTCTGCCAGCAAATCAGAAACAGAAAGCAATGCATCTCCACTTGTTGGCCTCAAAAATATTACATGTTCAAAGACTGTAGGGTTACTTTTTCCATTGAATTACCTGTCCCAATGATCTCCAGTCCAGGCTTGCACTTCCAATGTACACGTGCTGTTTATCTACAATCCAGAAAGATGACTGAAGGCGTCCTTCATTATACGCTGACATGTTCATATATAGCACTTCAGCACCTAGAAATTTAGGGACACTACAATAAATAATACTGTTTAAAAGAAGTTGCAAGCATTAAAATGAAGAAATTTCACATTCTGTGGTCTCAGCTATCTGAGAGACATAATTAAACATGTTATTAAGGCTTAAAGTGTCACTATCCCACAACATCAGACTTGATTAACATATATTAACATATAAGGGGAAAAAAAGATAAAGGGAACATCCTCTTTGTTTATTATCTCCCATTTAAAATCAGGTAATTGCTTTTTTTTCTGTATGTTCCTAAATCCAGTTTATTTTTAAAGATCTATTCTGTAACTCAAACCTGCTACGTATCATAATGACCTCTGAAATAAAGAAATCCTTCCTGGAAAGCAAACTCAGCTCCTTTGCTCTGCGCAATGCTCTGCGCGCCCAGCATACAACGGGCTGCCACATGGAACAGGCATGGGGAATACGAGGGAGGAGGAAGGAAGCAGAGGCCTGAAGTACATTTAAACTGCTTCGTTCAGCTGTGACGCTGAACCTGCTGATCTGAATGGCATGGTTTTTATTAGGATCATGGGCCACTGAAATCAACCTGCACATGAGGAGGTAAAAGCATGTTGGCTCCATCACGAGTGAAAATGCCTGGATCAGCCCCGTCAGTCTGTTTGCAGCACTAAATCCAAAATATATTTGACCTTAGGTAAGTTCAGGGGATTGTTAGCACCATGTTTTTTCAGCGATATTTATTTTTAAGATTAGGTGATTGATCTGAATTAATTATTGCCAAGGGTAATTTACAGTAACCCAGTGTGACAACTAATATGAGACTAACTGATGAAGTGAGAGTAGACTGGAAAGCAGTAGCAGTGCCAGCACCTCCCAATAAGCATTCCTGTGCTCATCAGTACCACGCGTTTCCATCATGTCCAGAAAGAAATGACAACTTTAAAAACTCCAGGATACTTAGGGGAAAAATAAATATGTTTTTAACTTCTTATTTCTGACAAAGAAATATTCTGAATTTTAAGCTGTAATTACCAGAGCTAAATATTCATTTTATTCCTTTTATTCCTTTTACAATTTTGAAAATTGTAAATCTCACTTGAATGAATGATTCTAGAAGTTCAGGCACCAGGAAGAGAAAAAAAATCAAATATGGTGAAGCACCAAACACACAATGCAGGACTTTGAGCAAGAAAAGAACATGCCTTGTGGTCTCTACATTCATATGTACTTGGCACTAGCCAACCATGCTTCCAGTTTTTTCTAGGTATCACACATCCACATTTTTCAGTGCTAGGAAAACAAAGGAAAGGCTGGAAACAAAGCATTACCCCTTTGAACATTTCTGCTTTCAATCCATGCGTTAATGAGTAGAATTATGCTAATGAATGAGATAATGTGTGTGAAATGGGAAAGAAATGAGAAATTATTATAGGGGCATTAAATGGATTAGATTGTTTTCTGATGAATAAAGGTGATTCCTCCTACTAGCTAAGGCAAACAATTCTGGAAAGCACTGAACTTCTAGCTGTATGTCTGAAAACTGCTTAAAAATCAAGTTTAACATAGCAGTTCGCTTCAATCAAATTTTCTTACATCGTATTTGCAACATTAAACAAGTTTGAATTTAACACCCACAGCCCACCTACAGCAAATAGCTTATAAATGAAGTGTTAGCATTTTTGTATAGGAAAGGTAACACTGTCAACAGAAACAATGGTCTTCCTTCCCATAACTGAGAGCCTAAAATAAAAGTCTTTTTAAAATATTCAGTGCCGAACAAAAATGCTGATGGCCAAATCCACAGCAGTAAATGATTTTACCAACAACATGCACATTAAAAACAGTAGCCATGATCAGTAACCCAACACAAAATTCTGGCTATAAGACCTAAGTAGCAGTTCACATATTGGTATGATCACTGGGACAAGACTATCACCCTAAAATATAAACTCAAGTTTCAGTTACCAAAATAGTGAGTACAGCACGCAGACGATACTGCTGGCACACATACAATTAAAAAGAAAACCTGGAACCCAATTTATTTTCCTCCAGGAAACAGCCCACTTACAAGGTTGAGGAAACAGTATCTCCAAGTTAATTAAAAAAAGTCATGTGTTGCAGCAGCAGCTGCTGTACAGCCTATTACAGCCCTTAACTTTTGATGAAAGGAAACATGCATCAGTATTGGTAATTGCCTCTGTTCTAGAAGCCCTTGAGATGTTTTGTTAAAATACGCTTATCGGGCCTTCAACACAATCCATCATCCCTAGCACAGCCCAGGTCCCACGAGGAAATTAAATTGGACTGATCAATATGAGAAGCCATAACAGAACTCTTTATCATACCGCAGCCTCAGTTACACAAGGCTGGGTCTACTGAGTTCAACCAAAAGGCACAATTTGTAGGTTTGATTGCTACCATAGATACCAGACTCTTAGAAAATAAGTCTAACAATTTTGGTTCACTAAACATTAAAGTGCAAGATGAGAGCTTAGAGAAAAACAGTGCTGTCACTCAGAACTCAAGTGGATTTCTCATGAAACTGTGCACTGTAAGGGTTGGTCCAGAGTGCCCCTTTCCTGCAGGAAGAAAGAACACTGTAGGATAGGTATCAAAGCACGCTGTAAGTGCCAGGCATTTCTCCGAGTACTTTCTCTTGGCCTAAATGTTCCGCACTCCAGAACAGAGCAGTGACTGAATCAGGTTGGGGTGCACAGAGAGGCCCCTGCCCTTGAACACCTGGGCTTTCTGTGAGGCAGGCTGCAGCAGGCCAGGGTGCACAGGGCTGCCCGTCACCCTTGTTCATGCCGCAGGCTGGAGGGGGTGAACAGAGGCTTTAGATCCTACATCTGCATGCAGCCTGGAATGGCACCAGGCTGTCCTGGTACAAAGGCAGTGTCACTGAGCCAATTCAACACTCCAGTGGACACAGTAAATTGTTTTTATAAAATAACCAGAAAGAGCAACTGTTTAGACTGCCGTTATCTCAGCGGCCTTGAAAGCAAACATGCAAATTCTCAGCAGTGCCAGTAGCAGACCAGGCTCGCCCTGGAGCCAGCGAACATAATGCCCATGGAACAGAAGCTGTGTTGCTTGTACTGTGGCTAAAATTGGCCTTCTGTCTTCACAACTTTCTTACTCTAATCTGTGATGTTTTTAAAACCAAAGACAAGAAGGGAAAGGGAAGGATCTGTGGATCAAGAGGAGAGCCGACCTGGGAAGCGACAGCAACAGTGAGGGGTGACTCACCACAGGCAGAGCGGTGCTGAAGGCCCGAGAGCCCTCACCTTGTTGGCCCTGATAGAAGGGAACTGCGCAGCAATAAGAAGATGGCGGGAAGAACAGAGATACGCAACCTGACAGCACGTGTTGGGAGTGTGTGTGGTGCAGGACAGCAGGGTGGGAGGCAGGCTGGGTACAACTGCTAGGCAGAAGAGAGCTGTAAATGCGGACTTTTTAATGCCCCTTCTTCCCCATCTCAAGGGAACAGGGTTGTGACACAGGGGTGTGCAGGTGGTGGGAAGGGGCAGCTGCACCAACTGTTGGTAGTCTCAGGATGTGGGGGAATTGGTGAGAGCTCCCAGCAGGGAAGGGAGAGCAGGATCCAAGGAAGCTCTAGTACACTATATGAGCCTGGCCAGGGAAAGCAATGCTGCTTATGGCTCTCCAGAATATTTGCTGTTTGAACCTGGCAAACGTTCCTGCCCCACATCCAATCCACCATGCATCCCCCAGCCACTGCTCCCCACATGTCACCATGCTGGCCACAGCAGGACCAGCTGCTCTCGTTGAATTACCCATCTTGCTGTCCCTTCACTCATCGCCATGTTGCATACCCTTTGCTCATGGCACTGTTGTTTTCCTCTTCTAATTCTATGTATTCCCAAGCAAACATACCAAGTAACATGACCTTTCAGAAGGAATCTAAGGGTTTGAGCTATGGCTAATTTGCTTTGCACTGCTGCTGACAGTCACTTGGCGCACAAAGAGATTCATTTTGATGCATATATTTTGGACAGTGGCCTCAAGCTAAAGCCAAGAGCGGGCTTACCCAGTCCATACCAGGAAATCTAGAGCTCACAAGGCACACATACACTTGAGCACAGGGGTGCTTGAGCACTCACATGCGGATAGGAGGCATTGCACACTACGTACTGTGCCGCTGTTGTGCCAGGGAGCAGCTGCCCTCCTTCAGCTATTTTGACTTTTCAGAGCAGCTGCGATGCTGTTAACGTGCAACTCAAAGCTCAACAAAAGATCCTTTATTACCCCTAAAACCTCAAACTTACTTTTTAAACACAACTTGCTCACTACAAAACATGAACACGTGTACACACATCTATGTAGATGTATATACTTTCAAAGTGAGCACTTCCTTACATTATGCAACAGATGCATCCATTTTACCTACTTGCTTTCAGCTACAAGACAAAGTACACCTATAAATAAAAATCAGTTTCATTGTACTGAGCCAGAAATCCAGAATTTTCTGTACCCTGCCAGGTGGCAGAGTAGCTGTCCTGTAGTGTACAGACACAAGAGACCCCGGCAGAGGATCAGCTCCCCAGGAACATTTCTGCTTTCTTCTTAACTGATTGCAAAACCTCTGGAGTTGTTCCAGAAACTCCATTAGTGTGACCTGCCAGTGCTCAGAGGAGGACAAGTACAAAAGCAAAGGAATGCACAACTTGACAACACAAAGTTGTTTTTGCCTCTGAATGATTAAAAGGCAAAATAGACTATCTACTATTTCTTGCTCTTTATGGAATATTGGATTTGAAATGTAATTTAAAAGTCTGCCTGGTTGCAGAAGGATTAATGATTCAGACTAATATTACGGAGAGAACACTCATGGACTTTTAGGGAAATCTCTGATGGCAATACCTTCAGTGCAAATCAGCTGTTTTGCTTACATACTCCCCTGTTTCTCTCACACATACCCCTCTTATTGCAAACAACCAGGACTGATCCTGACATTCTGGAATTATGTGCTATTCACCAGTTCAAACCCATAGTAATTAAA